AGCTTTTATAGTTTTATAGCTTTAAAGGATTATAGATATATATAATTTACAATAATAGACAGGAAGCTTCATAATTCAGTCAGTTTATTAAAGATCCAAACTCATAATCTTAAGCCTAGACACGTCCATTCTTTGCCAACCTTATAGATTAGTATCCTGCGTCAGCAGATTATGCTTCTTTTTTTCTTAACCGCTCTGTGGTTCCTGTCTGCTCTTAGCAGCGCAAATTGGTTTTAAAAAAAAATCCACCATCAACTGACACTCTGCCTGAAGCCGCTTTTAGGAACAAAAGAATTGGGTTATGTCCTCGTTAATCTGATCCGTCCATCAGACTGTGAAATTGGCATTAATCATACTTCCTTTTGATCACTGTTTCTACCAAACGCATCTATCTGACTTTGGTGCTTTTTTTTCTGCTGTCTTGGCTGTGGTTGCCATGATGTCGGCGTGTGGTTGCTGTTGCTAGGGATGCTGTCCAGTATTTTATAAATGAGACCAAGGAACTTTCTAGAAGCTCTTTTTAATCAGAAATGATTTAAATGTCATCTAAAGATTTTGGGGAAAATCTCGATGAACTACTGATGCTTTAAAAGTCCTCGAAAGTTTTTGTAGTTTAATAATGACTTCAACTTTAAATGTTTATTTAAATATAATATAAAGTCTCCCGCATAGATTTTGCGGGAGAATATTGTTCCCATTTGCTGCTGTTTACAATTATATTTTAACTGCTGGTTAAAGCTTCCCTTTCACAGAGTTTCTAACAACACAGAGGAATTTATCACAAACTGGACATATTTGGACTGAATAAAAAGTATAAATTAGAGGGTTCAAGTAACAAACTACAAATACATCATTATCTTAGTTAATTATAAATGTTGCTATCTATACTTTACTGGAGTAATTATTTTTTAGACAACTTTTTACTTCTACTCCTTATGTTTAAAAAAATGACTCGTTAGTTTTGTTTCATTTAAGCTCATTTTAATTATGGCCTGTTGGTATTAAAAATAAATAAAAACCATCAAAATAATTAGTTTCATCCA